TTCATGATCACTCATCAATGCATTGATTTTGCTTTCCAAATCCCTCATCTTCTTATCCTCGCTCGCATCTTTCTTTGAACGATTTCGGGGAGAGGTAACATGGTCTTCCTTCGTATTGTTATCATCCGAAGGACCACCCCCAGTATTGTTATCGACGAGAGGAGTGTTCATATTAGCATTCTCATCCACTTCCCGCTCGTTATCATATTGGTTGGGATTATTGCGACGGCTAGATTCTCCCTGATGAGTTGTCAGTGCTGCGATTTGCTAGTCATACATCTTCCTCATTTGCTGCATAGCCATTTCCATTTCAAATTTGAAATTCTCTTTTTGCTTAGTTAGAGCATCATCGAGAATCTTAGCCATTTGCTCAGCGCTGATAATAAATGATTCGTAGGATTGCCCTGCGCTGGATGCTGTATCATCGGAAGCCACTGCTGAGCAAGCATCTGAGCTAGCATCCGATGTCTCGTCTTCCGAAGGAAGTCCTTTCTGCATTTTTTTTGTAATCCCTTTGTCTGATGGTTCCCGATCGCAATCGGATCATACGTCGGGATACTGTGGCAAACTGATCCGGACTAAAGTATCGTGTCGATTTTCCTCTCCCGATCATGTTAACGGACACTTATGGAAATTCACCATCCTGAAGAACAGTTTTCTTCTTGTGGAAATGCCTTGGTCTGGATTCAGATGTTATTGTGGAGATTCTTTCAAACACTAAAACTCTCTCCGGGACGGTCTTGGAACAGCAACACTCTGACAATACCGTCTTAATAATTTTAGCACACGAACAGTGAGAATCCGTGTCTCGGGCACTCCTTTTCTTGGATTTGTTCGCACCCCCAGCTTGATAGTACAACTCGTCAGTTTGATGACTGGAGCAACCTATCATGTGTTGGCACGATTTTTCAGGTATAACGTCTTCATCTGACGAGTACGTTCTCTTCTGGGAATTCAACGTTTTGTTAGCGTCTTCAGGAGTCGCATGTCTGAAGCTATGTTTTCGTGAACGTAGGCTTTCAACAGGCTCCTGGACTTCGACACACAATCCAATGTGGTTAGTTATAGGACTTTTCCTGTTATGCGTTCTCCTCCACTGCTTAAGAGGACGATCACGACCTCTAGCTTGAAAAATTGCTCGAGATCCGTTCAACGGGCTTGAGCGCTCTCTAACTGGAGCTTTGCCTCGATCATCATGTGACGGGCGAAGACGATCTTTGATGGTCATCTTAAAATGGGACAAATCCACACTGTCGCGGATCTCCACCGGAGGTGCGGAACTTGTCGGGACAGTAGTAGAGGCCGCCGGAAACTCAGACGGGACTGTAGGAAGTGAATCAGCAGTGAAACAGACCGAGCCAGTCCGAGTTTTGCTCAAACAACCATTTGGTAGCTTGATTTTGGCCGAGCCACCATTTGGTGGCTCGGTTTTGGCCGAGCCACCATTTGGTGGCTTGGTTCTGACCGAGCTAGCATTTGGTGGTTTGTTCCTTTCGATGCCTTCAGGCACCGTTTGGGTTGTTTTTTATGCCGGTTTGGACTTTGGCCTTCAGACTCGGCGTGATCTTGGTGGCTTCTTGACCACTTCTTCTTGTTTCCATTTCTGCGCTTCTTGCATCAGAGCTCGCGCATGCGCGAGTAACGCACGGCGTTTCTGGATCCTTTCTTCAAGAGTTGAACGCGTCCTCTTGACGCGGATCCATTCATTCATGGTTGAGTTGGAGGAGTTAGCTGCCCGCTGTTGCGGTGCTTGGTGCCTCCTGGACTTCAGGTCCGCTTCATAGTGGATTCCATCAACCGGTTCTAAGGCCTTGGCCATCTGGCGCGCAAGGCGTTGTCGCCGTCTCTGACGTGCTCTCTTTGATAGAACGGGCACGTTATCAGTAGTTAACTCCTCGCTCAAGGAGTTCAGATCTGCGGTGTCGGCTTCATCGGATGCCGGCGGGGCGTTGC